TGTTAGTATGGTAGGAGCTCTGATGTTGTTGCGATGTCTGATGTGTAATGACACCTTGCATGCTCGGAAATGATTGTTTGTGGGACCACTGAGTGATTAGATGATTGGGTAGTCATCCACGACACGTGGCGATTTTGCATGAGGGATTAAATTTTCACTTGGGCGTAAGCGTTAGCCAACAGGCGCGGGTGCAAGCGAACGCCTCGTGTGGATACGTGTAAGCGCGATCCGAATTGCGCGGCCTACAGGTGTCCACGCGCGGCGAGTCGCGATCGTTGACGAAACTRGCACCTCCAGTATCGGGATAGGCGAGKAACCTTCCTCCTTTCAAGCAGTGCCATCTGAGTTGGCAGGAATTTCCGACACCATATCTGGAGATCCCCCTGTCAGTCAGATGCGTACGGGAGGCTTCCACTACACCGCAATGATAAGATGACGTACCCATGGGACTCCGGGTACTTCGAGCCTAGGGTAAGAGAATATCTTAGGCGGAGACGCTCGAAATTTCCCTGCCTAACCGAAAACCGATTGTGCCCCAGGGGGTTTCACAGTGCCGTAACTAACGATCCGAGGTGCTCCGATTACCCAACTACGTATAACACGCAATACTTCATATCCCCCGGCTTCGTTGTTATCACTACCAATTTCCCTCCCTTCCGTCTCCTCCTCTTGTACCATCAACTCACGTTGGTGCCGTGGAATTCCATCGCCCCGTATTGGCCCCGCGCGCCTTGCAGAAATTGCAGACGGCGTGGCAATGGACGAACCTTTGAAACCGCGGAGCCTAACCAGAATGCGCGACGACAGACGCCACGTGTCTGCACCCGAAGGTCCGACTCATAGGAATCGTAACCCTCACGAACGGGCCTCTCCCGAACCGCCATCACTAAAACAGGCGGATCAGACGGTCCCAGTTACACCGCGCATACCATCTGCCTTATGCTGCGTGACATCGACCGCCATCAGACCGAAAGTAACCCGTCCCTTAGCCTCATTGCACTTATGCCCCTGAAACCTTGCCACAGGAGATCTCAGTTCTGACCTGGGACTCCACCCCCAATTTCCCAAAAATCCTTGGCACACCCCTTTTCGCACTTCCAGGCCCACATCCCACTCCGATCAGGAAGTCGCGCCGCCCGTGAGGTTTGGGCATCACAGCTTGGGGAAAGAAAGTGGAGTTAGGAAAGAAAGTGGAGTTAGGAAGGGGTGAAGAATTGGGTTAAGTCCGGTGGGAGGGTCAGAAGCACGGTAGAGAGGTTGGGAATTAGGAGGCAGAGAAATAAGGGGTGATGACCAATTGGGCTGAGTGTGTCACGGCTGCCCGTGCCGATGTAACCAAGAACCAGTGACTGCCCCAAGCTGTGCTGCCTTGCTTGGCCTTCCTGAGCCAATCCACCCTGATCATGGCTCTGACCCATCCCTTGGTCTTGGAGATGATAGCGGCATCACTAGTCCATTCCTGTTTGAAGAGAATGTTGTTCCTGTCTTCCCAAATGATCCACAGGAAGATGGAACGAATTGCTTGTGCAACATATCCTCTTCCCACGTGCCTGAACCAGGTGGATGGAATCCTGCCATGGAGTACCCAGTGCTCATCCCAGGTTAGCAGATCCCCCACGAATAACACCCAGTGATTGGCCCACCACGTCCACAGTCTTCTGGACGCTGGGCAGGACCAGAAAAAGGTGTTCCAACGTTTCCTCTGCACGGCCCCCGCATCTGAGGCATTTGGTGGGGATGTCCATAGCCTTGCTACCACTACTCCTAAGACTATATAGAGGGGGACCCCTGCAAGCATAGGGCCTAAGCTTGCAAACGAGGTAAATCATGTTGCCCTCCGCCCCAACAGCGGGAGTCAGAGATGGGGCCAACAACGCCCCTTTTTTTTTTGGGGGGGGGGGTTGGTTTGACTCTATGTATTTGTGGCACACCGTACGACAGATGCAAGAGGGACATCATGATTGCACCTGGTCTCCTTACCGGTCACATTCGGTCGGTAGTTCATGAAACGTGAAAGGCCATGATCTTCTTCTGACATTCACGACCTTCTTCTGGGCCGAGGTCCCATAACGACCGTACGTTGTCTTCGGGGGAAGACCGTAGCGCAACATCGCCTACGATGTTTGAAAATAAAAAATAAAAGTAAAAAATTATGAGCACAAAGTGTACGTACGCAGTACGCCATTGGTTGCATCTCTGCATAAAACAGATCCAGATTCAGGCATTCGATCCGATCCTCGTTGCTAGTAGGTGAATTAAGTGTATCTTTTCAGTCTAAATTCAGCTATAATGACCGTACGTTGTATTCGGGGGAAGACTGTAGCAAAAAGGGTTGGGAAAGGGAAAAAGAAACAAAAAACAAAAAGGAAGGTTTACGCGCCTGAATCCTGGATGTTTTTATGCGGAGATGCAGAAGAGCCGATGAATCGCGATTTGTTTCTGTATGTCTGCGGAAAGACGTCCAGATTCAGGCGTTAAATCCTGTCGTGGGTCCAAGGAATAAACGAAAGAAGAAGATAACCAAAAGGGAGAAAGGAAGAACCGCCGTGTGCATGTTTGCCTCTTCTCTCTCTCTCTCTCTCTCTCTCTCTCTCTCTCTCTCTCTCTCTCTCTCGCTCGCTCGCTCGCACTCTCTCTCTCTCTATGTATATGTATGCATCATAATGCATGAGTCTGTGTGGCCAATGTACATCACAAGTGATGTGATCGCAGCTCATACGGCCGCCATAGCCGAGAGCTGTCCAAGCTCATTGGCGGGAAAGTTCTCCTCTGGCGGGAAGAGAAGACTGGCGCCCGAGTGACGAAGGATTTCCCGCCACGAGAGAGGAGAGGAGTTTCTGGAGGGAGGTTTGGTAGTAGGGAGAGGTTTGGCGGGAAAGTTCTCCTCTTCGCCATAAAGAAGTACGAAGTGAAACAAAAAGGGCAAAAAAAAAACTCAGGGTAAGTCGGGAACACCCGCAGTAACTAGGTTAGGTATTTAGTTATTATGCTAACAAGAGCGATCTCGAAGGCTTCTTTTTTTTTTTTTTTTTTTTTTTTTTTTTTTTTTTTTGTGTGTGTGTGTGTGTGTGTGTGTGTGTGTGTGTGTGTGTGTAAATGGTAAAGAGTAAGCCGATTCTGCCGTTGTGCGTTTTTCTTCACCATTCCCTTGTGATTGATCTCACTACTACCCACTGTCCTTTTTTTTTTTTGGGTAATTATCATTACTGGTAATATGATTATTATTATATTATATTATTATTATATTATTATTTTTAGTTTTTGAGATAATATTATTATACTTTTCTACTCCGCCTTTGATTGCTCTCGCTACCACTACTGCCCTTTTTTTTTTTAATGGGTGGGGGGGGGGGGGGGGGGGGGGTGTTAATTTAACTTAATTACCATTACTGGTAAGGTTATTACTTTTCTACTCGGCCGGGAATGCGTAGGTACTACCATCCTTCTCTCTCTCTCTCTCTCTCTCTCTCTCTCTCTCTCTCTCTCTCTCTCTCTCTCTCTCTCTCTATTCTTCTCTCCACATTGCGAATCGATTGATTTCATGGCGAGAACGAGACGCATCCCGAGTCGGAAAAAAATAAAATAAAAATTCGAAAAGGACTGCCAGTAGTTAACTGCAGGAAGTCGAGAATGATCCTCGCTCGACTACTCTCCACATGCATGCGCAAAAGAGAAAAAAAAATAAATGGTGGTGTATCTTTCCATGTTCTAGTGCAAGATTCAGTCTTGTTTTGCACATTTGGAGAGTAGTGGAGCGAGGAGGCCCAACGACCACTTTTCTATTCCGCGTTTTTTTTTTTTTTTTTTGAAGTTCGATACCCTTGAGATATTTTCATTGAACTGACCGGCCCTAGGTAATTCAGAATTTTATATATTTTTTAATAATTCAGAATTTTAATATTTTACTCATATGGAGTTCGAACTGGCATTTTTTTTTTTTCTTTTTTTTTTTTTTTCTTTTTTTAACTGGCACTTTTTCACTTTATTTCTATGGCACTTTTTCACTCATCATTGAACTGACCGGCCCTAGGTAATTCCGCATTTCTATGTCGCGTTTTCCTCGCCGATAACTAACCGATTCACCGTGGTAATTGCAGTGCCTTAGGGCATATTCACACTGCGCTTAAACGTTACTTATATCTGGACGGAATTGTGGCCAGATGCAAGTGTGAGTACGCACTTAAACTTGACAGATATGTATAAAATCCGGCCGTAAATGCGGTCACATTCATTCAAGATCGTGCTAGTGTGTGTACGCCTTTAAACTGGACAGATGTACTGCTCCAAGGGATATATTTGACAGATATATATAAAATCCGGCCGTAAATGCGGTCACATACATTCAAGCTCGTGCTAGTGTGTGTACGCCCTTAAACTTGACAGATGTACTGCTTCAAGGGATATATTTGGCGGTATATATACAAATATATACTAGTATAAGCGGGCAGCCGCCGCTCAACCTACATCCAGGTGGGCGGCCTTGTACGCAAGTGGTTTTGAACAGGGGGAGTGTTGTAAGTTAAAAGATAAAAAATGAATTGTTTTTTTTCTTCTTTTTTTCGCTTTTGCACTCTGATATCTTTGTGACGATATATATATGGATGGATATCATCATCATCATATATATCTCCTTACTGCTTAGTTTTCCCCGTGGTTGGGGTACTCCGTTTTGCGGACCTACTGTATGGTTCCGGTTTTTTACTATGGATATGGCAGATTTTGTTCTGGTTATTGTTTTGGCATCCTGGTTGGTTGTTTCCGGTTGTTCCGAACAACCTATGGTGCAGGGGCGGTGCTTGCATGGGGGACCAATCATCCGGGTTCTCCCCGGATGGTTTTGTCCTGTTGTTTGGTTATATGTAGGAAATGACATCCGGGATTGTTAGTCTTTCGTGTTTTCACGGATGGTTTTGTCCTGTTGTTTGGTCTATTTGGCGTGTCGGTGCTTTCATGTGGGACCAACCATCCGGGTTCTGGTTTTGCCTTGGGATGTATTGTTGTCGTATTAGCAGATTTTGTCACACTGGATCGGAGCTTATTGTGTTTTTCAATTGCATATCTGTCGGTGGTGCTGAAGGTACATGAGGCCAATGGGGATTGAACCCAAGACCTCCTGAATGCCACTTGCGTGCCTTACCAACTGAGCTAGGCCGCTGGATATTGTGTTTTCTTTCTTGACAGTGCACGGAAGAATTCATTTGCGTCGAAAATAGCCTGAATCATCGTCCTGTCATCCCACATTTTCTGGTTCGTTTTTTTTACTATGGTTATTTATGGTAGATTTGTTGTGGTGTGGTAATCTTGTCTGCATCCCGGTTGGTTTTGTCCCGTTATTCGGTCTATTCGGTCTAAGCAGGTAGCGGTGCTTCATGTGGGACCAGTCATCCGGGCTTTTTTTTTTTTTTTTTTTTTTGGCATCCTGGTTGGTTGTTTCCCGTTGTTAGGTTCGGCCTTTTGGAACGCGGGGCGGTGCTTGTATGTGGGAATCGTCATCCGGGATTGTTTTTTATACCGGTCCTCCGGGTTCTCTTTGATTTTTTTGCAGACAAGAATGTTTGACATCCTGGTTGGTCTTGTCCCATCGTTTGGCCTGTGTGGGACTGGGGCGGTGCTTGCATGTGGGACTTGTCATCTGGGATCTGCTTATGTTTGTTGCCCCCTGTTCTGTATTATTTGGCTGTTCCCTTCCTCTTTTCTTTGCCTCTTTGCCTTTTGGCTGTGTGCGAGTGGGTCGATATGACACACGGTGGTGGGGGCAGCCGCCTCTCAACCTACATCCACGTGGGTGGCCTCGTACGCAAGAGGTTCTGAACAGAGGGAGTTACAAGGAAGAAGATAAAAAAGTGAATTCATTTTCTCTTGTTTTTCTTGTTTGTTTTTCGCTTTGGCGCTCTGATATCATGTGACAATATATGTGACGATATATATATATTCGTTTGTGACGATATTGAGGTCATCGCCTGGCGTCGCATGATGCATAAGACGGTGGCGACCGTGAAACGCTAACTGTAAGACATTTACAGTAAAGCCTCCTGAAGTAGTATAGTTACTACCTTCTGCAGGTGGACTATTATGGTCAAGCAACAACTGATTTTCAACAGCGTCAAGCTGATACGCAATCGTAAGAAATTGGGATGCACTATCACGTTGACGCTGATAAGCCTGTAGGCAGACATTTGTGGCTGTCCAACCACAAGAATTTGGTAGGTCTGCCCGCAGATTCGAATCGGTCACCACTGGAAAGCCAGATGTGATCTGGCGGGGTCGGCGCGTAAAAGACGAACGCCGCCGACGTGGCAGAGCAGGTTGTCGGTAAGACAAAGATCCCCGCAGATTAGCATCAACACGACGTCGAGAGGTTGTGGTCCTCTTCTCCCGGAGCTCTGAATTTACCGGTGGCCTAGTCCCACTTACACTGATTTTTCATTTCCGGCCGTTGATCTGTGGAATCTACGGACAGAATTTGAGAATTCGGGTAAGTGGGACTTGGCCCCGGGCAGTTGTGCTTGACGATACACACCAACTGAGCTCTGAATTAAAAAGTTACCGCCGAGTTTACCGCTCTGAATTTAAAAGTTACCGCTCGAGTTTACCGCCCGAGTTCGAAGATGATATCTATTAAAGAAAAAGAAAAAAGAAAAAAAAAAGAAGAAGAAGAAGATGATATCTATTGAAAGAAAGTTACCGCCCGATTTTACCGCCCGAGTTTACCGCCTGAATTTAAAAGTTACCGCCTGAGCTCTGAATTTAAAAGTTACCGCCCGGTAATTAAAATGGAGTCTAATTTCTAATTCTTTCCGCGCTTACGGAGTGAGTTGAATTTCCTTTTTTTTTTTTTGTGTTTGTTCTTTTTTTTTTGATAAAGGAAATGCAGCCCTCTGAGGCTGAGCGAGAAACAAATGAACCTGAAAGTGCGTGCGGGCAAGGTTTCATTCGCGCGCAGATTTTTTTTCCCTTCTTATCTATGTTTTTTTTTTTTTTTTTTTTTTTTTTTTTTTTTGGTAAATGGTTCATTCGCGCGCAGATTTTTTTTCCCTTCTTATCTATGTTTTTTTTTTTTTTTTTTTTTTTTTTACTTCCAATTATCCTTGTAACGCGGATCTCCATACGTGGAAACGGTCGGAAACTGAGAATCCGGCTGGGTACAAGCACCGGCTCCGAATTTTTTTTAAGACTGAATCTAGCCGAAAAGGAGGTCAGGTACGCGGGCAAGTATTCTTGCTCCAGAAGCTTAAGGCGGATGCTAGTATTCTGTATCGATGGGATTTGAAATTCTGACGATTTTCCAAAAAAAAAAAAAAAGAAATTCTAACGATTTTCCAAAAAAAAAAAAAAAAGTTCTGACGATTTATTGCTTCTCCTCCCGCCCCCCCACCCCCCCGCAAAACAAAGAATTTGTCACCATTTTTGCTTTTTTTTCCAAAGGAAAAAAATGAAATTCTTACGATTATTAATTTATTACATTGATGTATTTAGCTGGATTTCATATACGATTTCTTACTGAAAGGACAAGGTTTGTTGGTTTGCAAATTTTTGCAAATTTTTGCAAATTTCTGCGCTGCCTGAGGTTTTTGTGCAAATTTTTTTTTCCCCTTGCGGGGGAGCATTGCTCTGCCTGAGTTTTTTGAGGGCCTAGTTGCACCATTCGCAATCCCCCGACTTTTTGAATGCATATAGACAGAATCTATGTCCCGATGCATTAAAATGTTGGAGGATGGCGTGTGGTGAAACTACGTTCTTCCCCCGAATACAACGTACGGTCATTATAGCTGAATTTGGCGTATCTTTCGGTCTAAATACAGCTTAATATGACCGTACGTTGTATTCGGGGGAAGAAGGTAGGCTCTGAAGGGTCTGAGAGCTATTTGCTCGTGTTTGCTTTCGCGGTGCTCTCTCTACTTTTGTTTTTGTGTTTTCAACCGTGGGCACTGGGCCCATCA